TATTTATTTTATATATTTAAATGCCATTTAACAAAAATCAACCAAAAAAATGAGTTCGCGTGTCACCTCTGACACGCGTGTCATAGGTTTGCCATCACTGTGTTAGGAGGAATTGGAGCATGACAAGCCAAATGCAAGGAGATCCATGCCACCTATGCTAACCATCTTTCATAACAAGCCTCCCTAGGCTCTGGTTTCTTCAGCTGCATAATGAGGGGCAACTAGATCATCTCTAAGGACCCTTTTGGCTCAAGAAATCATACCAAAGGTTATTTCCAGTTTTGAAATCCTATCCATTAATTTCCTTAAGTCTTTACTTGATGGTACTTCAGTGAATGAGATTCAGAGTTCCAGGAATATAAGACAGAGTTCTAGGGAATCAGGCCACCAAAGGGCAGATCAACCTTTGCTGTAAGGTGTTTTCCTCTTTCAATGTTTCTTCCAGTCTAGGGCATCCAGGACCCAGACCTCCCAAAGGTCATGTAAGAAAGGGGGAGAGGGGAGCCTGGAGACTTGGCTTATAACTAGAGAGTGACTGTCAGCATATTACGGATATCACTAAAGAAAGGATGTTGAAATACAATCATCATTTTATACTGCAACAAAACTGTGAGATCTTGATGGAAGGGCCATTTCTAATTCACCCCTATCCCCAGGACCTACCACAGTGCCTAACACAGAGTAAGGTGCTGAGTAAGTGTTGATTCAGTGACTCAAAGCACTGTATCTAATCAGGTAAGAAAGACTACCCTCTGTTCTTTACGAAGTTAAGTTTTAATGGATTAATTATATATTAAATTGATTGTCATAAATGACTTTCTACGAGCAGATTTGAAAGAAAAAATTCAGAGTGATATAAAAATATAGTGGCTATGTATGTGTTTATAGTCACACAATATTGAAGCATCACAGAAAAGTCTTTATAACTTTTGAGTTTCATCTCTACAAATGTCATTTTTAATATTGTGAAATGTCATTTTTTTAAAAAGATGGTTTTTATTTTATTATTTTTTTGTTTTTTAATTTATCTTTATTATTGAAAGTATTACAAATGTCCCCCTTTTTCCCCCATTGACCCCTTCTATCCTGTCCCTGCACCCCCAGGCCTTCACCACACTATTGTCTGTGTCCATGGGTTATGCTATATGCATATAAATTCTTTGGTTAAAACAAATAAATAAATAAATAAAAGCCATAATTAATACATGTTTGTTGTGATTACATCATAAGATCCACATAAATACAAAGAAAATAGGAAAAAAGGATAAAGTGTTATTATATTTCTTTAAAAAAAGGTGGTTATTATGTGCACAGTATGCTTATCAGATGCAGCCAGACGGTTCAATCTGGGTGTATGGAGAGAGGGAGGTCATTCCTAAGTCCCTCCAATTAAGCAGAGCCAAAGAGCTGAGCCCCAGGAACCGGGAGGGGTGTCCCCTGTGGAATTCCCCATCTTAACACAAGGGGCTAAGGCAGAGGTTCTCAACCTGTGGGTCGCGACCCCTTTGGGGGTCGAACGACCCTTTCACAGGGGTCGCCTAAGACCATTGGAAAACATATATAATTACATATTGTTTTTGTGATTAATCACTATGCTTTAATTATGTTCAATTTGTAACAATGAAAATACATCCTGCATATCAGATATTTACATGACGATTCATAACAGTAGCAAAATTACAGTTATGAAGTAGCAACGAAAATAATTTTATGGTTGGGGGTCACCACAACATGAGGAACTGTATTAAAGGGTCGCCGCATTAGGAAGGTTGAGAACCACTGGGCTAAGGGATCCTGCGTGTCCCTGGAAAGAAACTTCTGGAACCCCAAATTTCCAAATGCTTGGATAAACTCTCAAGTACCATGGCCCCCCAGAAGACTGACGCTGATTGTTCAAGAGGACACTCCCTGAGGCTTTCATGTGCTTTCGTTCCCCTCTGACCCTCCTGCCCTGAGCCAGGCTGACCGCTAGGCTCCCTGTGCTCAGAGACCTAATACTCCATTACTGCAGGTGGACAAGGTGAGCAGTGGGGCAGCGGGCGCACAGCTCGGCACGAACTCCTGGAGAAAGAACAAGTCTTGTCCTGTAAGCATCCTGTGGGCACGAAGCCAGAGAGCCTGCGTCAGGGGCCAGGAGCCACGCC